TTATTCAGGTTGTCCCATGCAGAAGGTTTGATACCCAGGCTTCTTTTGTACAAGTCCCTAGTCCCCCCTCATCTTGAGAACTGTTCCGGTGTCTGGGATCCCTACAACATCTCAGATGTCCAGGACGCTACTTCACAATGGGGACCACAAGAGAAGCAGCAGTTTGACTGAGATGATCAGCACCTTTTAGTTGCCTACTATATCTACAACTACAAGGCACTCTGCAAGAAGACTGGGAATGGTGCACAAGATAGTCGATGGTCTCTCCGCTCTTTCTTGAAAATTTTGCCACTGCACTACTTATACCTACTTGCGCCCTCTATATAGCAAACAATGCCTAATCTGTGCCTGTTGGTCCCCCATGATCCTCTTTTTCTTATATTAATTGAGAGCTGATTTGATGAGATAACCACCTGTCAGTGACCTTGCAGGGTGGTCTTATCCCCCAGACCAAACTAGACCAAACGGGCTTTAACAAATCACGAGCAGGAAGTACCATGACATGACCCTCCAGTTGCACCAAGCCAGAAGCGACATAGACAAGTTTGTATTTGCCCAACATTCTGTCCCAAAGTTAATGGAACTGACTTCCAGCAAATATAGTGCATGCTGACAGTCCAGAGAACTGCCAGGGACTACTTCTGAGGCATCTATTATCCTTATCCCACTTAGAAACAATCTGTCTTCCTCACACCACTTGTAATCTTTAGTATTAGTTCATCTTCGTGATAGGCTACAACGTCTTTTGAAGATTACCAGAAGAAGAAGAAGAAGATATATCGAGGATCATGAAAGTAATCATTTGTTCTTTTAAATGCGTGTACATGTAACATAGTCTTTAGATATATTTAATCTTAAGTCAAGTTCTGACAAAAATATGAGTGATGCTGAACTGGATAGTAAATTGAAGGGGGGGGGATAAAATGATGTAGTTCAATAGTAAGACTGTATTAATATAATTAATATTAATAATAATAACAATATTAAAAATAGTAACAATAATGACAATGATCATGATAATAGCAGTAATAATAATGATAATACAGGTAGTAGTAAAAACAACAACAATAATGTCCAATGTAAGATAAAGTACTCATAAAACTCAGTATATACCTGTGCTTTACATAATAAAATAGCATGTTGATATTATTGGAATATTTTTTTCTTCAAAATCTACAGTAAATTTTTACAACTGAAAGATTTGAATTCAAGAGACAGCACCCCCCTCCCCCCATCCATTTGTCATCATTTTGTTGATGTCATGTTGGATTTAAAAAGACTTTATAGAAACAAAATATGTTGATAAATGAGTTCATAAATGTTAATAAATCAGTTAATACTGCTGAATTCTGTTCTTTTCATTTTCTTATTTTGTGAAATATATGTGATGATGCTGGTGATTATGATGATGTAGGCACTCTGTAATGATAATACTGTATGACTGAGGTGAGATGGGGGCTGATGCAGTCTTGTGTAGAATTGAGTATGGTGTTCGACCTTTTGATGTTTGTTTATATCTGGCATCAGCGAGATAGATTTAACCATCTTTCCTAATGAGAGAGAAAGCGGAAATGTAACAAGAGAGTGGGCAAGACTAATGTATAAATGCAGTATAAAAAATGGTTTACAATAAAGATGAGGGGAGGGGGGTTAAATAAAGAATAAGTCGATGCCGAAATGATGAAAGCATAGGTAATAGGTAATAGGTAATAGAGCCTATGGAAATGTCACTATTAGAAGGGGTCTCTGTATTGAAAATGTTACTGTTGGGGGGAGGGGGAATTTAAAAAAAATCAGTGGCGACGAATGCAAGAATGAAAAGAACGAGACAAAATTGAAATTTCATTGGGGATGGGGCACAATATGAAGATCATTGAAGTCGAGGTGAGAATGATTCATTAATTGGACACTAACAATATGAAAATATCACTTGTAAAGTGGGTTAAATGATCGGTGCAATTTGTCTGATTTAAAAAATATTTAAGTTAATAAACGAACAAAAAAAAGAGGTAAAAAATGAATTGAGTGAAATGGGGTCATTATTTTTGCCTTTTAACTGAACTGAATTTTTAAAAATATACTTTCCATCCTGGTGACAGTGAAGTTTGTGGCCCCAACTAAGTCAACCCTTTAAAAGTCTTCCCCCCCCCCCCCCCCCCCCCTCCCCACACACCTCCCCAACTGTGACTTTTGTTCTACATCTGTCGATATAGTAACGCATGCGCATTGTCTTTTTTTCATTGCGATAATATGCTAATAAGTGGAAAAGAGCTCATAAATATTCAAAATTTTAATTTAAATATTTTGCGCGCTGCGCGCAGTCCAAAATCCCCATTTCGCTGGTGCACTAAAAACTTGTCGTCTTCATAGGCTAATACACGATAAATGGAAGCAGTGTGCACTTTTGACCCTCCAAAATTTCCCCATGGCTAGACGGATGCAGAAGCGGAGTTGAACCCCCCTGGCTCAGACAATGAACAACCACCAAATTTTTGGGTGGGGTACATTTATCACTAAGCCACTTATAATTTTGGTGTGGATCAAATATTATAGAGCCCTTACCCCATTGTTTTTTTGTTTTTTTTTTTGGGGGGGGGGGCTCAGATATCATTGTGTCTACCATATTTTTGTTGGGAATCGACTATCATTGAGCTCCTCTCTCCTCCGAAGATATTTTAACAAAAGTCAAATTTCAATTCTCTTTCAAGGAAAAAATTTCCATCCGCGTTATGAGTTCCCACAAAATATTGGGGGGGGGGGGGGGGGGGGGCTCAGAAATAATTTCTTATCCAAATTTTAAAAAAATCATCTCGCATGACTTCATTTTTTTTTCTTTCTTTCTTTGTGGGTGGAGTTCAGATATCATTGAGCCCATCATATTTTGGGTGGGGCTCGGATTGAGCCCCCCCCCCCCCCTCCTCCTAATTTATTTTAACACAGGTCAAATTTCGGGTCTTTATCGGGCAAAAAAAAAATCGTGCCCATGTTATGCATTCTAATATATCAGGGGCAGGGTTTTTTTTTAGTAGGAACAAACTAAGACGGATTTGGGGTTAAGCCTGCCCCTTCTATCTTTCAGAGGGGTGTGTGCGGAGGGGGGGGGGGGGGTGGCTCAGACATTAATTGAACAACCACCAATTTTTTTTGGTGGGGGACAGTTATCTCTAAGCCACTTATAATTTTGGTGTGGCTCAAATATTACTGAGCCCTCTCCCAATTTTTTTTTTTTTGAGGGGGGGGGGGGGCTCAGATATCATTGTGTCTACCATATTTTTGTTGGGAATCGATTATCATTGAGCTCCTCTCTCGATCCTCCCAAAAAAGGATAACATTTCCACCCGTGTGATGAGTTCCCCCAAAATATTGGGGGGGGGGGGAGCTCAGATATCATTCTTTTATCAAAAACACAACAAAAAAAAACAGCTCGCATGACTTCATTTCGATTTTTTTTTTTTTTTTTTTTTTTGGGGGGGGGGGGGTGGTTTTTACGGTGGAGTTTAGATATCACTGAGCCTAGCTTATTTTGGATGGGTCTCGGATTGAGCACCCCCCCCCCCCCTCCTCATAATATATTTTAACACGGGTCAAATTTTAGGTCTTCAGGGGAAAAAAAATGAAGCCCGCATTATGCATTCAAATATATCAGGGGCAGATTTAAAGGAGATTATAAGAAAATGAATTTAACGAATGGGCTCCAAAATTAAATTATAAAAAGTGTTGGAAGTGAAGGTTTAACTAACATGTTTGTTGTTGCTTAGACCTATTCTTACAGTGACGAATCCATGCAGGGGGCGCAAGAGGGCGCAAGCCCCTCCTTTCTTTCTTGTTGTTGAGAATCACACATTGAACATACTAAGAAAATTTCCTTCTGCGCCCCCTCTTTATTCAAATTTGCCGTCTGCACCCCCTCTATTTCCAAATCCTGGATCCACCGCTGTTCTTTTAAAATGAGGGATCAACGGCCAACAAAGTTTTTAAATTATGATTTTTGCTTTGAAATCAGCCTCTGTTACTCCGCCTTGATGGTGTGTGTTTGTTCTCGAGGGGGGGGGGGGGGGGAATCCTGTTCGTACCCGTTTTGGGGCACTTTATAAATTAAATTTGGGTTTATGCCCCCCCCCCCCCCCCCCCCCCCCCCCCCCCCCGCCTGACAGTAGTAATATGAATAGTTGTAAATCACGTACGGTTTTAGTTTAGGATCGGAGTAGAAGTAGAATAATAGATAATAATGATAACCAGAGGATTGTGACACATTGTTACAATTATAAGTTAAACTTGACACATGAAGTCATTACAAAAACAACTTCAACAACAAGTCTAGGATTATGTTTTCTGGGCTCTCCTATGTTACGTAACAAACAAAGGGGTACTTGGACCACGCTCTGTCACCCCATTCATAAAACCGAAATGGTTGTTTAACAGTTTGAGAGAGCTAGTCTTGCTCGCAGTCACTTGAGTGTGACTTTCGCCGTTTTCTTCTGTAATTCTGAACTTTTTCTTCTTAATTCTTCTTTTTCCTCTCCTTCTTCTTCTCCTTCTTTTTTTTTCTTCTTCTTCTTTTAGAAATGTCTCACTATGTGAGACTAAGATTAGGCGCATATACTTTTGGGGTAATAAATAAACCTCGGCCCAGTCATCCAAAGTGAGTCAAATATGATATGATTTATAAATGGGGCGCCAAATAACTAAATCATTAAATTAATTTCTTTCTTGTTTGGTTGCTGCCTGCAATTGTCTAAAACTAAGCGAGAAAAATATGCAGTCATGAAGGCATAACATAATTATCTTCCTAGCTCTTAGTCCTCCATGGTATTATGAGTCAACTTTAAAAGAAAATGAGGGATCGCCGAAATGTTTCCAATTTGCTTTGAAACTACATTGAAAATTGAAAATAAAAATGACATGCTGTTTACAATGAACGATTTGATTAAGCTATGCACTGGCATATCACAGCTATAGTTACAATTTATTTGACAAACTAGTAACCCCCCCCCCCCCCCCCCCCATCACAAAACAACAATAAGTTCACTGCGTGCCTGGGGATTACATGCTTGCCTTCAAGAAATTAGATGATGATACTGAGCTCTTCTATTTTACATAACAAAATAAACAAAGGGGTACACTTCCTGTCCCCCATTCACAACGAAACACCAATCGGCAATGGTCGCGTGCGAAAATTTGCATAACAAGTGATAGATCGAGGGCTTATATTGGTATAGTGTAGACTCATTTGCATATGAATAGTCTGCATTCGCCCCGTCGTGTTTAAAGCATTACTAATCTCTCTAATAGTCTAGAGTATTCACTTCGCTTTCTGTCAGTTTAAGCTTGCCTTGACGACTTGTATAGATACTCAAACATTCCTCTATTATATAGTTAGTTGGCATTTTAGTTTAGTAAGCATCTATTTTGCTCGAAAAAGTCATCGATATCGTCGATTCGTTAAAAGTGCCTTGATCCAGACTATATTAGTTCAACATGTGGTGGCTTGAGCGAAAGCAGAACCAGTTGTTCCTGATAGTGAATGGACGGAGGGCATTCAGCCGAAACAGGAATGTCGAGTTTCCCGACGTCATCAGCATGATTTGCGTCGCTAACACTTCATCTACTGAAGACAGCATACAGGTGAGAAACTTACATAACCTACTAGAATAATCTGCAGTTCGTGTTTCTGACATGGTTACTCTTTAAAAAAATGCAACCTTGCAACAATGCAAGTCAAGACATGATTGATAGACATTCTAACTGTTGGACAAGTGCAAATGAAATCATTTCAAATGGTGTGCAGCACTGCCTGCAAGTGCAAGTGCAACGTAGACTTTCAACGTAGGGATTAAGATCTAACTTTAACTCAACAACAGTTAACTGTCAGTTCAGTTATCTATTTATCTCAGATCTCTAAGTTCGGTTTAACAAACTAGTGTTAGACCTATTTTTTTATGTATATCACTTATCTATTCTAGCACTATAGTCGTACTACTAGTACTAGTAGAGTCTATAGTAGCTTGCTGGGACTGGTTTGGTTGAGCTGGTTGCATGTGACCCGGGCTTAGAATATATATTATTTTATAGTGTCTAAGTTAAGTAGATTAGATCTAGACTAAGCCAATTAAAACTTAACGTCAGTAGTAAGTAAGTTGTGTCTGCTATTTTGTTGTTCAAAGACACTAGTTGTCACTATGTAAAGAAATATTCTGGTTGAGGTCAAATAGAGTCTATGTGAAATGAGTTTGACAGAGCATTAAACCATTAATTATTACTCCATCGTGATTGAGATCTCAACTATAAATCTAGGTAGAGGTCTCTATTTAAACTGAAATCACATCAAATTCAGACTTGGTTCAGGTCATGAGACAGTTCGGCTGACTGTCTACTAGCGACCAAGTCTTGAAGCCTAGCCTCCACCAAATTATTTCTTGTGACCAGTATAAATGTAACCAATTATATCCCTGTTACACATGTACACAAAAAATATTTACAAAAACGATGAATTTTATTTCATCTAATCACAGCAAAAACTTACATGCCATATGCAAAAATGGATCTATGAATACATGTAGATCTGGGTAAACTAATATAGGGTTTCAAACTCTCTGCATCTGCATAACATATGAAATTATATAATGAGCCAGGAAAAATTAATTTCCTTCAATATAATTTTTAATCAAAATATCTTCAAAGCTTTTTGTATCCCAGGATGTAATTCAAAATATTGCTAGAAAAGTGATTGAGTTCATGTTTGGTTCTTTAATTAACAATCGCACAGATCCAGGTGTGCAGAGAGATATCCAATTGGATTTTCGTCTTGGGAGCCGACCCAAGCTAGCTAGATCTAGTAATTATCAGTAAAAGTTTGGTGAATATTTGATAAAGGATTTATTACAAAGTTTTTTTTAAACCCAAATTAAAACTCTGCGATGAACTTTTATTGTGTGCTAAAATTGAATGAATTCATAATTTCTTGAACACAATTTATTCATGCCTGTGCCATATGTTTTCACACACTTTTAGATTTTTTACTTTATCAACTACCATGGAAACGTCTACAAAAATGTGATAAGAATTTTTAAGTTACATGTCCGTCACAGAGTTGTAGATTTTTGTTTGATTGGAAATTAAAATTTGTATAACATTGCTTATAATCCGTTTTCAGATTTTGTCAGATAACTATCATCAAGCTGTCAACCTGATTTTTCTGCTTATTCATAAAAATCAATATATATTATTTGTGTAGACTTTCCTGTTGAATATTTCTGACTCATTCAAAACCTTCACTGATTGGTTTCTCTAACTTCAATTAGTTTACCCATATTTTGTGTGTCCAGTCGAGTCACATAGCTAAAACATACCTGACACATAGTGGAAGACTTTATTATCCCCTCGCGGATGAAGTCAGAGGGGATATAGTAAAGCTGCCGTCCATCCTTACTTCCGTGCTTCCATAACAAATGGTTTTCTTTTGATAACTGTAGATGTGTTTTGCAGAGTTTAATAAAATTTGATTTGAAGGTGCATGCATGGTATAAAGTACAGCCTAAGGTCGATTTTAGAGTATGTAGGTCAAAGGTCATAGCTCATTAAATATGCGAAAATAGCAAATTATGGCTTCAGTTCGTTAACTTTAGTAAAGTTCAATGGATTTTAATGAATTTTGGTATGACGTCATGGAATCAAAATTCAGCCCGAGTTTGATTTCGGAGTATATATGTCAAAGGTCATAAGTCTTTAAATATGTTAAAATGTAGTTTCCGTTCGATAGCTTAAGTACCGGTAATGTTTGACTTATTTTAATGAAATTTGGTATGAAGGTACATGGATCAAAATACAGCCTGAGTCTGATTTTGGAGTATGTAGGTCAAAGGTCATAAGTCTTTAAATATGCGAAAGTGTGGTTTCCGTTCGATGTTTAAAGGGGAAGTCCACCCTGAAATTAAGTTGGGTTTAATAAAAGCAGAAGAATGAGAGAAACATATCATTGAAGGTTTGACGAAAATCCATCAAAGGATAACGAAGTTATGAATTTTAAATTTTTAATTTTGTGACGTCACTTCCGAGCTGCTCTTCCATATGTTGTGTACTGTAATTTCCATAAATTGCCCCCTTTTCATGGTTCTTGATGAAGGAATGGATCTATTTCATAGAGGCGTGTATAAAAGCATGTGTCTGATAATATATCGAATGCACAGGTAAAATAATAATTATTTTTCTGAGAAAATGGCAATTTATGGAATTTACAGTACACAACGTATAGGAGAGCAGCTCGCATGTGACGTCGTCACAAAATGAAAACTTTAAAAATTCATAACTTTTGTATCCTTTGTCGGATTTTCGTCAAACCTTCACTGATATGTTTCTCTCACTGTTCTGCTTTTATTAAAAACAACTTAAGTTCAGGGTGGACTTCCCCTTTAATGGATTTTTATAAAATATGGTATGAAGGTACTGTACATATTGTATAAACATACAGCCTATTAAGTTTGATTTCAGAGTATTTAAGTCAAAGGTCATAGCTCATTAAATATGCAAAATAGCTTACTATGCATCTGAATATGCGGTTTCCATTCAGGGGCCGCGGAGCGTTTTTTGAAAGTGGGGGGGGGGGGGGGCGGATCATGCAAAAAAGCACAATCTTATAGTCATTTTCGCGTTTTTGTTTTTGTAAAGAGATATTTAAAAGAGGATTAACCTAGCTAGACTATGTACTGGGCGACATTCAAAGTTAGTCTTATACCTTTTGACATAGCGATTGACAATGTATTTCTGTAAATCAGCATATTGTATTATGAAAGTTTATGAATTCTTGAAAGAAAGAAAGTATTCTGAATTCTCAACAAAAACCAAACAAAATAAAAAAGTCTCCAAAAAAAATTTTCTTCAGAATTTCAGGATTCTCAAAAAACAAAAAAAACAAACACATCTAGAATTCTCTAAAGAATGTTTTTTTTAATTCCCTTTTTGGAGAAATCTGGAATTCATGAATGGGAGGGGGGTTTGTATTTAGGAGTCTATTTACTATAATAAATAGTGAATGTTCTATCATGTACACTATAAATACTGGACTATGAACTCCAAATACTAAATTATCCCTCGTGCAGGTTTATTTTGACTCAGGATAATTTAGTAATTTAGTCGGACATATAATTCATTATTGTATGATAGAGTATACACTATTTATATAATAGTTCACGACTTACTTATGCAGATGGTCCTTACAAGGGTGCTATAGGTTATACTGGCTTTAAACGGGACAGAAACAGAACTGTATACATAATTGAGTCCTGAAATCGTACCGGTGGTACTCGAACTGTCCAGGCTCCTAACCTAGAATGCAGCATCCTGATAATGTAGTCTTATAATATATGCACACTTAAATGATTACAAATTTTTCCTCTATTCTTTATGACATTCATACCACAAATATGTTACCAAACTTGTAACAAATTAGTACAATGCCCTTCCATACATTCCTGTTTTCCATTTTAAATCCAATTATACAGGTATAATTTATACTGAAATGTACAATGTATTGTAAAGGTATCAAGACTAGCTTTATGCCATATTACTGGACTACCCACCTAGTGCTAGCCAACCTGAGAGGATGGTGCACCATTAAAAGTTTCAATCACTGATGACATGGAATATCTCATATTGGCAACGCAGTCACTTTTTGTGATGTCATACAAGGAGAACTCTCCCACATGTACAAAAATATGTGAATTTCATTTTTTTCCTCAGTCAATTCATAGAACAGAATTTTTGTCCAAGTCCTCCTATAAAAGAGGTGATTTTAGTGCAATATCTGCAAAAGAAATTGGAAAGTTTTTCATGTATGATCTCCATATTAAACATTAGTAATCATAACTTTTTTTTAAATTCACGTCTTTACTCATTAATTGACTGTTTTTGCTTCAACTTAATTTCACTGACATTTATGTTACTTTAATTTTTCTGCATTCTTACAATTCAATTGTCTCTGAGGAGTTTATTCTCCTTTATAACGAGGGCAGAATCTAAACTCTACCGCAGTGCAAACTGTTGAAAGTTATACATCCCATACTTGTATCGCAATTGTATTAATGAAAATTCATCTAATTAATGAGAGTGCAAAATATAGGTTGTTTCTCTAAACATAGAGGTATATAGTCTGTACTGTTTGTACATTTCGGAGGAAATCGACTTACTAAAAGTTTCTGAATGTCCTGTGCATGCACATTTGTTGTATGTTACATGACACGATCATCAGGCAGACTACAACTTCACTCTTGATTTCTCAAGGGGAATTGTAATTTGTATATTATGCAAAACATATCTACCCTAGCTACATGTACATGTACAACAAAGAAATATGAGTAAAAATTGGCATTCAAGGAAAAAGGGATCTTTTTTTGCATGTTCCCCCGCCAAAAGAAGTTTGAAGGGGGTATACATGTACATAGGAATTGGCGTACGGTCGGGTTGTCGGGCGGTCAGTCGGTCAGTCTGTTGCAAATCTTGTGGATCGAACTACTTCCTCATTTTTTGAGCAATGATCATGAAACTTGGCACACATATTGGTCTTAGGATGGAGATGTGCAAGACATACTTTTTTACTGTGTTGGATACTGCGTTGCCATGGGAACGGCATATTATTGTAATATATCGGGGGAAAATCTCGTGGATCGAACTATATACATGTATACTTCCTCATTTTTTTGAGCAATGCTCATGAAACTCGGCACACATATTGGTCTCCAGTTGATTATGTACAAGACATTTTTTTTAATGTGTCGGAAAGTGCGTTGCATTGGTAATGGTCTGTTATTGCAATAAATCTGTAAAATCTTGCAGATCAAACCACTTCTTCATTTTTCGAGCAATGCTCATTAAATTTCGCACAAATATTGGTCTTGAGTTGATTATGTGCAAGACACATTTTTTAATGTGTCGGAAAGTGTGTTGCCATGGTAATGGTCTATTATTGCAATAAATCTGTAAAATCTTGTATATATCAAACCACTTCTTCATTTTTCGTGCACACACATGGGGAGTGAGTATTAATCACTTTCGGTGATATTTCTAGTTCTAGGCAAACATGTAGAACATTCAACTGTATCCCTTATAATCTTTGTGTGAGGTTGTCAAAGCAAAATGAATATAATTTCATTAAGCAGCTTATATTAATGCCTGTATTTGTCCGATTTACTTTCTTCCCAGGTCTGTTTTAGTAATGGTCTTTCTACACAGGCAAAGTTTTGCCAAATGAGTGTCACAAACATGGCAAAGACTTTGAAAAAAACGGAGAACAGCCTGACCGATGTTTTGTCAGTGATGGCGATCGTTAATGACGACATGATCTATTCATTTCCGTCATCAGAGGAAGAACTCCTTCCTTCTCAATCTTACACACAATCGAGGCAAAAACGTAGCAGTTCTGGATCTAGCAGCGACGGAACTCCACCAGAACGTAAGAGACGAAAGAAGACTTCTGAACATTCGGCGGAGAATTCAGATGCAGCAATTGAACAAAAATGTCAAGGTTAGTTTGTGTTCCATTCTTTTACAAAATTCATTTCACTAATAATTCCAGACGTACAACATTTCTCTCTACATGATATCACTAAGTTTAAATGTGATGTTATTGATTGGCAGTTTTTAAATCAAAGAGAAATGCAAATATCATGGAGAGAATGTGTACAAAATAGTTTATCAATATAACAGCACTGAAAGCCTGATAAAATTGGGACATTCCACTTTTATTATTTGATTTTGTATAACTTCAAACAATTTTTAAATGGACTCCTATACAAATACCACAAATATTTCCATTTTTTTCATCAAAACTACAATCTCCTTTTTCTTATTGTTTATGAAGTACATGTTTGGGGCCAAATTGATTATTTAATGCCCCTCTGCAATAGCCACAGGGAAGGTAAAATGGCCAACTGCTGATTAAAACCAAAATAAAGTTGAAAAATGATTAATTGCCAATTCCCCAAAACAATGTTCATATGTTGCATTTTCCACATAAGGCAAAATGAGATTGAATTGAAAAGGGCTATAGGAATATTTTTTGTATAGCTCTAGGACAAAATTTCCCTGATGAGCCTCTGTGTGTTTTGATCCAGTTACTAATAATATGTATCAGGGCCCGTTGCATAAAGACTTACTATTATGGTAACTACCATAGAAACCTTGATTTCGATTGGCTGCTGAGCCCGGTTACCATGGTAGTTACCATAATGGCAAAGTTACCATAATAGTAAGTCTTTATGCAACGGGCCCCTGGTGTCATTTTCAAAATGTAGATTGTTCTCTGCACAGGGGATATTATTTATAAACATTAAAGATTTAAATGTCACAATCTTTGAAAATGTGTCATTGACCTGAAATTTTATTTCTTTACATGTAGGCATTTCTGAAATCTCCCTCAAAAAACTTGTGGAGCCCGAGAAGGATCTCCAGAGACCACGTACCAGGAAGGAAGTGATGGAGGCCAAACAGTTCGTGATGAAGGCAGCAACCCACTTCCAGAGCTCCCATGTCCTTCCAGTCCTCGCAGTAGATGGCCCTTCTGGAACAGCTTACCAGCTCCTAGGAGGGGTGTGCTATGCTCTTGCAGCTAAGGATCTTGTTGACGATGAAAGGTATTTTATTCTATAAAAGTTACCCGTTTTTGCAATTGCTTTTTAATGTTATTTTTGTTTCTTTTTGTAGTTACAGTGTATGAGACAAAGGTTAAATTTTTAAAGGGATTATGTGATGTACTTACCGATATTATATGTACAGAACATATTCATTTATCACTTGTCTTTTTTTTTCTCCATTTATTATGCAGTCCACAAATATGTAGTGGAAGCATGTAACATAAAAGAAATGCTACCCAGGTAGTCAATGTACCATTTGGGAAGAAAAATGGTAATAGAGAGGTGTTCCATTTATAGTTATACAATGAAGGGTATATTAAGGACAATACAAAATATTTTTAGATCCCTGACTCAAATAAAATCCCATAGAATATTTCCCTTGTGTACCATGTTCATATTTGTTTTCTTAAAAAGTGTGTGACTGCATGGAAAGGTATACCGTGTAAGCTTTTTTCCAATATTTTATTCTGCATGATACATATATACACCATGTTTCTATATCCTACCCATCTCAATATCCTATAACCAATATACTTTTTCTGATTGCTTTAGATATGAACATCTATCTCGTGGATGGCGCTGCAGGGTGTACCAAAACCTGGACAAGGTTGAGGCATTGAGAGTGGCATCACTGCATAGGTGTGGGCAACCTGCTGTAGACAAGCCGTGCTTGCAGGAGGAGGTTGCTGTCTGCAGGTCAATTCTATACGATGACAACAACCTTGATGTGGAGGATGAGCCCTGCACTATGACTGCCTCGACAAGACGCAAGTGTTCCCTAGCCCTTGGGAAAAATGGCTCCTTCAATGTAAGTCTAAACACTAGAGCTGACATTTTCATCTGACATTTTCATCTAGATAAAATGCTGAATTCATTCAATGTTCTATTTTTACTTGTAGCGAAGTAGGTTTTTTTTTTAATGAAACGATGAATCGGACATTAAATTAGATTTATGTTCAGCATAAAAACTCATGAACATCACCCAACCCCCCAATAAAAAGGTTATTGTTATATTCAGCCAACTTACATGTACATGACAAAATGGAGTTTAATCGAGCTTTCAAGAGTGACTGTTGGAAACATAAATTTTAGCCAAAAAGTTCTAACATTTCTTATATTTTAACTTGAGGGGTCATATTACAATATGGTGAATTATGTAATGCAATGGTGATTGCAGTGAATGAATTGGAATGTTCAGAATCAAACTGGTTATGAGAGCATATATTATCCATTTCTTTTTTTGTTGTAATTTACAGGCACTGAGGGCTCTCGAGCCAACTTTCCAGTTGGCTAGTTATTCAAACAGATGCTACAGGAAAGCCACTCTCCTTTTCGATGCAACTAGAGAATCTACTGGAAAGGATTTGAAACAATGTGTAAGTAAGCTTTAAATTTTTTTTTTTTTTTTTACACATTTAAATATCATCTTGAGTAATGAAGGAAAGCATTTTTTTTCTTCATAGAATCGAACAAAACTTGACTTGCGAATGTTCAAAACACCAAATAAATTATAACTTTTTGGTAGAAAATGTATATTATTGCTGAGTAATGAGCTATATGAAAAATACAAAAATTGAGCTGCCCTTGTAAAAAAAAACCATGGTTTTACCATCATAACCATGGTAATACCATGGTTCACCCATGGTTTTACAATGGATCGACTGTTTTCAGGATCCAACCGTGAGTATCCATGGTTTTACCAACATAACCATGGTTAAACAATGGTTAAACCATGGTTTTACCACTGTTAATAAACCATGGTTTAAAAACTATGGTTAAACCGTGGTTAAACCACAGTTATTACACCACGGTTTCAAAACCATGGTTAAACCATAGTTTTACAGCAGTTCAAAAACCATGGTAACAAAACCATAAATAAACCATGGTTTAACCATGGTACTAAAACCATAGTAATGAAACCATAGTTAAACCATTGTATTACAATGGTTAAAAAACTATGGTTAAGAAACCATGGTTAAACAACAGCTATTGCCAACGTTGAAAAACCACTGTTATTTAACCATGGTTATACCATGGTTTTAAAATGGTTCAAAAACCATAGTTTTTTAACCGTGGCAATATCATGGTTTAACCGTGGGTTCTTAACAATGGTTTTTTAACCATGGTTAAACCATTGAATAACCATTGTTAAAAAACCATGGTTAAGAAACCATGGTTAAACAACGATATTGCCAACGTTGAAAAACCACTGTTATTGAACCATGGTTATACCATGGTTTTACAATAGTTCAAAACCCATAGTTTTTTAACCGTGGCAATATCATGGTTTAACCGTGGGTTCTTAACGATGGTTTTTTAACCATGGTTTAACCATTGAATAACCATCGTTAAAAAACCATGGTTAAGAAACCATGCTTAAAACCATGGTTTTACCACGGTACAAAAATCATGGTAACAAAACCATGGTTGAACCATTGGATAACCATTGCTAAAAAACCATGGTTAAGAAACCATGATGTAACCATGGTTTTACCATGGTTGAAAAACCACGGCTATTGAACCATGGATGAAACCATGGTTTTACCACGGTACAAAAACCACGGCTATTGAACCATTGTTGAACCATTGGATAACCATTGCTAAAAAACCATGGTTAAGAAATGCCATGGTCGAAAACCACTGTAACTAAACCATGGTTAAAAACCATGGTTTTACCACAGTTGAAAAACCATGGCTATTGAACCGTGGATGAAACCATGGTTTTACCACGGTTGAAAAACCACGGCTATGAAACCATGGTTTAACCATAGTTTTACAACTGTACAAAAAACTAGGTAACGAAACCATTTTTAAAAGTTCTACCAAGATACAAAAACCATGGTAAAGAAATCATGTGCAAACCATGGTTTTGCCATGGTTGTAAACCATGGTAACGAAACTATAGTTAAAACGATGGTTTTACCGAGGTTGACAAACTACGGTTACGAAACCATAGTTAAACCATGGTTTTAGAATTGTTCTGATACCATAGTTATAAAAACATGGTTAAACCATGGTTTTACCACAAATCAAACAACGGTCTGACCGTAGTTAACTACACTTTTGACATGGTCTCAACACGAGTATTAAAAAAAATTTAAAAAAACTACTATCATGTAACCAATGTAGTTATGACCACTATATACATAATACATGTATGACCAGCACTACTCGATTGTTTTGATGACCTTGAACTGATTCGATAATATGGAATTGTAACAATTTGCCCCAAAATAAATACAATTATTAGTGTGTTTGCTGCCATCTAGTGGTGGAATGCACACTGTATTTCCAATTTTGAATTTCTTCACTCCAGCCATTACTTTGCCGTTTCGCCAAATTTGTCTTCCTTTAAAACCCAGAATATAGGGGATAAGGGTTAGATTTACACCAGGAAAGAAGAATTGTACGAGACTAAGAGTATTCCAGAGCAAGAATTGGACAACATGAAGAACTCGAAGTAGATCTAGATTTCAATTTACCAGACAGTCACACTGGTCTACATACTACAGTACAGTCCCACACAGCCACTCATGTGTGGGAAAATATCGGTCTGCAGAAAACGACCAACTTTGCTTTGCTGCTGGAGCTATACTTTAAGGTCAACATTTTCTCCAGGAGGTGAGTAATAAGATTAAACATAATTTAAGGCTTGATACAGAATTGGGTATGCTTTCTGTAAAAATTAAGAAATTTGGTTATAAATCTCATTCTTCTTTTTGATTTTTTGTAAATTTTGTTCATGAAAAAAAACCAAACGGATTGCAATTGATGATGATAGTAGATTTACTAGATTATATTCCATACTGTACAATACTGCATCCATGAAAGTAACGTACTCCATGGAGCTCCGACGCCGATGCCAAAGGCATCGAAGCTCATGCAGATGTGGCCCGTTTATGAAAACGATTCAAACAGCGGCTGAGCGGGTTTGGTCACATGTTTTCGCAAAGTAAATACTGAAAAAGAGGTAGTCTAATTACAACTTTGACTAGACTTAACAATGTTTTTTTTTACTCCTTTGGGCATCTTTCCAACCACTTGAAATCATAATATGAAGAAGTCTCGTGGGGGAAAAAGGGTGATTCTTTGTGCTAACCCGACGATTCATCCATGTTCGTTGATTTAACATGGCGAGGAGAAAGTACGCATGCGCGGTCACGGCGGAGCAAATATTAATATTCATGATAGGAGGGGGGTTTTCGGCCACTTAAGACAAAATCCTATTTTAGGACTCTTTACTTCCTATTATCATTTCTTGTTCAAATCATGAAGCAAATATTATTATTCAAACAAACAAAGAATCCCAGAAAAAAAATCATGAATTGCCATGACAATATCCATTTCAATTTTCACTGTTTCGGAGACAGTTATCGACCTAGCGAGACAGTTTTCGGTCGTATGTACAAAGTCAATAGGAAGCGCGCCCGCGTCGTGCGTTTCCCCGCTGATCTATAGTACTAGCGGGCGGAGCAGGTATCCCGAGCCGGAGCTCGCCATGCCGAAAACTAGTTCTGCGGTGATCGGAAATTGGAATCTGAATTGGACAGAGATATCGTGTGTGCGTTGCGGTGTTCGGCTGCATTGATTTAATACATGCGATGAGATACTTTTTAGCTTGGGACTCACACAAAATCGGGCTCTAAATATGAAAAATACTTGAAATAAAGCTCATTTTATGGTACCCATATTTCTTACAGACATGCGTAAGATACTCGATTTTTCAGATTCGGGTAGCGGGACCGCTGATTACATCGCTAAAATGTGATATTTTAGGATATATTTTCCATTGCAAATGTGGTTCTTCAGTGACTCTGGCATGGTATGGCATGTGTGGAATATGTGATATGCTATCATGGGATGTATTTTAAAGGAATTTTACTATGCATCCAAAGGACCGGCCGAAAACTGGTGATGGTCGATTACCCCCTCCTTTACTCTAGGCGCCGTTTGTCTAAATTGCTGTATAGGCCTATATAAGAGGTTGAGAAGGGCTTTGTTTCTTCGATTCATGCATAGAGACTATTCAGCAATTTCGAGTAAACAGCGCTGTTTGAATCACTTTCATAAACGGGCTCTGAGCACGTTCGTGTACCCCAAATCTCTGGTAAAGGGGTACTTTAACGCAACAAAGTCTGGCCCATATTGACTTAAATAGGTTGTTTAAAAAATCTGGCCCGTATTAAAATTACACACAGGAGATAGGGGGTGCTTTCAAAGGGGGAGGTACATTTGTAGAGTGTACATGTTGCTAATATCAACTCATAATTTTCGCTATATTTGATTTGAGAGCATATAATACAATTCTACAATGTGCTAATATTTATTTTTATTTTTCAGGGTATCTTCGGCTGCGGGAAAGTCGTCAACATGGACTGTTCCAGTGAACATGCAGTCTTGATTTGTAAGACTAAACTGTCCAACAAACTTCACGGAAATTATGCAAGACATGGGTGAGAGTTTGAGAATTCATCTGTATGGGATCCCTATAGAGGAGAGCTTTTCAAAATTATACCAGTTATGCTGACCAGCAAACATTCAGCTAGTACATCCAGTACAATCGACCCTGTCACCTTTGTTCGGTCGGAAGGAATCTGAGAAAGTAATCTTCAATACACAGCTTTTTTTCGAGCAAAACTTTTAAATTTGCCGCACAGATGTGACGTATACGCCTCTGTCTGTGTTGTGAGGACCCTACGTCACAAAAAATGTCGCGCAATGCATTGTGAGAGGAACCGGCTCGATCATTCACTTGTTTTTTGCTCATTAAAGCCTTACTGCACTCCTTTTAGCTACTTGCTCCCTCTATATAGAAAACTTCCCCAATCGGTGCCTGTTGGTTCCCCATGATCCTCTATTTCTTATGTTATTTGAGAGCCGAGTTGATGAGATAGCCACCTGTCAGTGATCTCACCGTGTGGTCTAATCCCTTCTGGTCAAACTAGTACAGATGGCCTTTAAAGACCGTCAATACTACTGGGCCAGAAGGGATTTGACCACACAGCGAGGTCACTGACAGGTGGCTATCTCATTAACTCAGCTCTCAACTAACATAAGAAAAAGAGGATCATGGGGGATCAACAGGCACCGATTGGGGAAGTTTTCTATATAGAGGGAGCAAGTAGCTACAAGTAGGACAGTGGGGCTTTAAACAAAATTATTAAAAATAAGTCTGAGCACCATTTTCCAAAACCAAGTTATTTTGGGGCTGTACAGATCTTTGTCTATCTAATCGACTCAACTTTTCAGTGGAGTGGACTTGTACTTTAACACTTATTAAAGTAAGGCTGTGCATAACCGTGTAATGAAGTACTCGAGTACACTCCCAGGCTTACAGTCGAATACTCGGACGCCATGTTTTTTTTGGTTGAATTTTGTTGATATTTTTTGTTGTTGAAGTGAACTTCTCTATGTATAGTAAAATTATACCTTTACCTTCACGCGTATAATTCATCAATACAAAATTTTAAAGAATTCTTTTTTAGAATATTTATTTTTGTCATGACATCTCATCAAAACTTTCCAGATAGCCTTGCTACTGGTATGACGCAGCACTTTATAGTCATTATTAAGCTGTTCAATAATGGTTCACATTTATCTGCCAGTTTTACCAGTATTTTATCAGCAAAAATATAAAAATGCTTGTTTTCGTGTTAGGAATATCTTTCATTCAGATTAGATTTACATTATAATAATTTGGTTTACACAACTGATATGTACATGTATACATGTATAAGCCCAAAAATTTGCCAGCGTTTGAGACTTTCCATCTATTTAGATATTCATGTTTAGAGAGAAGGTTGAGTTCTGGGAAGAGGTGAAAAAAAATTGTGAGCTTTATCATTGTATTATGTAAGTGTGGCAGTACATCAGATAAAAATGTGCCCTGAAAAGCATGGATCTTCAATCAAATGCCTTAATATTCTAAACATGGCATGTAAAATTATATATTGAGGTTCGATTTTTACGCCACATGTTCATGTAGTCCCATATTCACATCTTTCTGTGTACAGTGCTTGTAACCTTACCAAGACTAGACCAAATTTCTTATAATTTTGATGATTCCAGAACCTTGCAGTACACACCAATACTTTTATATGCTAGATGATCAACCTGTCCTGATCGATTCCACAACGTTTCTTTCACAATGCAATCGCATGACCAGAACTTGACTTTATTTTTAAGCTGTTCAATATTGGTTCACATATATCTACCAGTTTCACCAGTTTTAAATGACATTGTTTATTGTGCTCTTCAAACAAAAGCTGATGGAAGACCAAAGAAGATTGTTTTCATGTTACAATTTTTTTTCTTCTATTAAATGTGAAAATATCGAGTTACTTACTCATCCGTTCACTTGCCGATGCCAACAATTTTGCTAAAATGTATTCACTTAGTGTAATCTTTCATTGTGTGCTGAAACTAGCTTGTGTTCAAGAAAATATGTATTTGCTATAATTACTTTGTAATTAAGAGTACCGGTAGTAAGATTCCACTTGCCTGGTTAAAATGTCATCTTAAGTAAGTTTCCTCTTTACCATCGGATGACTTAGTTATGTTACATTCTTTTATATGTAACCTAGCTAAAATAGTCTAATTTTGTTCAAAATATGAGATTCAGGATTTTGGTATTTCCTAATGAGGGTATCTTAAACCCTCTGCGTAATTTTAAGCGTCGGAAATCATGTGTACATGTATGTAAATATGATATTTGTTTTAATCAAATGAAAATGATAATTTTACAGCATTTCAATAGAAGCTGTTCTTTGTAGTGGCCCATTTTCTCCCTGACTTTGACTTTAAATCTGCTTCAGCAATGTTCTAAATCTTGGGTGCTCGTTTTGAGAGGGTTTACTTATTTGAAAAATTATGCACCATTTTAAGATATTGACTTCTACTTTAATGTCATGTGAAAATCAGCACAATCCTTTTTTTGACCTATTGGTCATTTTGTGGTGTAAGGTCACATATGACATTGTCCAGTATCGTTTTGTAACAAATGATTGTAACACAGTAACCCAAAAAAATTATATAAGTTTTCAAATGAACACATTGTTAATAGTTCCAAAAGTTGAACAAGATGGGCCATATTTCCTCTTTTACAATTGTTATACCTGCTTGTAAGGGTTTCAGGGTACATCCTATATTTATTGTTACTCAGGTTTAAAGTCTTTTTGGGAGGGGTGGGTGGCTTTTAGTATAGAAGTGGTTGAAATAAAAGGCTTTTAATTCTGATCCTTAGGCCATTTTGTTCAATTATTCAAGGAGATGGTCTTGTTATTGTGTGTAGGGAGGGATATGGGTGTATAGGTGTGAAAAGGCATTTTATAAACATATGTCCATATTGATCCAGTTATTTGCAAGATGTTCATTACCATTTGTAAGTTTGTTATGTTTGTCTCATTAAGTCAGTGTTAATTACAATTTTTTTCCCCTCTCAAACAGTACATTTCAATTTCAATTGAAGAAATATAGTTATAGGTTTTTTGTATCAAACAATTGCTGGAATTATAGAGTTAAAATAGAGACCATCTGAAATGCATTACAATAAAGGGTACAAACAAGAAGGGGAAGAACTTGTTTTGACTGACTAGCCAAATACCTATAATTGGGATACAACTTGTTACCTTTCAAACAAATCAAATGTTTGCAGTTGGTAAAATTATCTTTGTATATTTGTGTGATTTTTTGGGGTCATGCCCTCTTTACAGTTTTTATTATTACAATATATGCAATAGGACCTCAACTCAGGAAAAAAAAAAATCTTGCATACTCAGATACCTTGCCATATTTGTTCTTATTACTGACAGCTTTATGGTGTTGTGGTCAGTGTAATGGTACTCTTAATTGAAATATTTTAGTCTTTCCTTTTTATTCCTCATTAGCCTATACCTCATACATATAAGCTTGCTAAGTGTGTGCTGTTTACAAACAGTTTACTAATTAACTTTTTATGTGTACCGGTAAGACAGTTTATTACAAATATTTATTTGAACATGCATAAAGTCTTGCCACTTTACGTCTAAAGACTAGGATGTTTAAACACATTTACATGTATTACTCTAAAACGTGTGTGACATATATTTTATTAAAAGTATTCATCTTTTTCAACACAATTTTTCATTTCTTTTGGCAGGTCATTCATTGTGTCTCCCATCACTGATATCAAACATATATTATGTATTTCTTACACATTTAAAATAGCTTCTCTTTTCTATAAATGATTTACATTTCAGAAGTTTCACCTTGGATTCACCATGGTTTGTACCTAAAAGCCATGGTGAAATTATGGTTAAACGACGGAGAAAACATGGTAATACCATTGTTTGACTGTACCGTGGATCCATTGTAGTACCATGTTATCAAGGTGGTAATACCATGGTGAAACTGTAATACTATGGTGTACTGTAATACCATGGTGAAACCATGGTTAAACCGTGGTTTTACTGTACCGTGGATCCATTGTAAACCATGAAATAACAGGAGTAAATTGAAACAGACATATTATGGTAAAACCATGGTTTTACTGTAGTTTTACCATGGTTTTGCCGTGGTCATACCATGGTGAAACCAAGGTGAAACCATGGCTTTACTGTACCATGGATCCATTGTAAACCATGAAATAACAGGAGTAAATTGGAACAGACATATTATGGTAAAACCATGGTTTTACTGTAGTTTCACCATGGTTTTGCCGTGGTCATACCATGGTGAAACCAAGGTGAAACCATGGTTAAACCATGGTTTTACTTTGCGGTACTTTGCGGTTTAACCGTGGTAAAACCATGGTTTTACTGTACCATGGATCCATTGTAAACCATGAAATAACAGGAGTAAATTGGAACAGACATATTATGGTAAAACCATGGTTTTACTGTAGTTTTACCATGGTTTTGCCGTGGTCATACCATGGTGAAACCAAGGTGAAACCATGGTGAAACCATGGTTAAACCATGGTTTTACTTTGCGGTACTTTGCGGTACTTTGCGGTTTTACCGTGGTAACACCTTGGTTTTACCATGGAAAAACCACAGTTTAACCATGGAAAATCCATGGTAAAACCATAATATGTCTGTTCCAATTTACTCCTGTTATTTCATGGTTTACAATGGATCCATGGTACGGTAAAACCATGGTTTTACCGTACCATGGATCCATGGTTTTTTTTTACAAGGGTGGACTGGATGTCACACATACCACATGTTTTCTGTGCAAATGAGAATTGTGGTTTATTCAGCCGCTATAAGGAGTTTATCAAATCATCACAACCAAAGTAAATAAAGTAATATAGCGCCACCATTGGCGGATACCCTATTCTGACTGGAGGGGGGGGGGGGGGGGGGGGGTTCAATTTCCTGTTCAAAATCTGTGACTGATGCGCAATGGCTGCAAATAGCGACACGGCTTCCGGTGACTTTTTCTGACTTTTTTTGTTTGTCTCGCAACTTTTGAGACCGAGTTCTAAAAATTAACAATAAAATCAACTTTTTGCATAGGTACGTTCGTGTACAAAATACTGCTTTTCCTAAATTGCTTTACAACACTGTTAATTGTGCCTTCTAGTCTTTTTGCCTGACCATACTTGTCTTGAAACTTTTCAAGATACACTTTTGAAACATGAAAAAAATCACATATATAAATGAAAACAATAGATACATAAGTAGTTTATGAAACAATAGAATACAAAAGAATTGATCGGAAATTTCATTATTTATTATTTCAGTATTGTTGCCTATGCTATTCAGCAACTTTAAAAAAGAGATTGAGCTTCATAACTTAATGAAATATTAATGAATATGTTAAAATAGGTATCTAATTTGCATAAATTATAATAAAGTAACAAATTTGTGATAAAAACAAATCTGTATTGACGTCCTTGCAATATTTCGCATTAAGCTTGCACTCAAAGTGAAAATAGGGTTAAAGCAATAGTTTTTTACATATTCAAATCAAACAATAGATGAATTGGGGATTCTTTGCAGAAGAATTGACTTTGATTGAAAAAGTTGTTTGATAGTTCATATATATGCAAATAAAATTTGTCTTCTGACAGTGAGCAACAATACTTCACGTGCACTAATAACTACTCTTATTATTTTCATTTGTCTTATTTTATAGTGTTTCATGAAGCTACAAGGACTCTCAGAAGAGGAGCGATATTCACTTCTTCTGGAGGCGACCTTGTCTTTGAATGTTAAAAAGATGAAGGCGGATGCCGATGAACTGAAGGCAATGAAGAGGAGCGTGTTTGCTAAGGGAGTTGGGGCTAAGACGTGGGAAGAGGCGATAGAAAGATACCCAACCTTCACTTCAGAAGCAGCCCTGGAACCCTATGTTGGTATGCACAAATCATGGCTTCGTATAATGTCTATTGAAGAGAATATTGAGCCCCAGCAAGATATACAATAATTGCTATCCTGTATCTCCATCAATCCAAATTTTAAAGTTTAGATGAACTAGTAGGGTTGACTATTCTGACTGGGGGGGGGGGGGGGGGGGGTCAATTTGGCCCCTGCCTCCCCCGTACACAATCCAGGACTGCCACGTAACCGCTACAAATCACAACCTGCCTTTCAATGACTTTATTGTCTCGCAACTTTTGAGACCAAATTTGCCCCAAAATTGGGACAGTCCATGCTAGAGGTTATGCAACATTACTTAACCACACGTCTAGCCACAATTGACATTTTGCATAGTACGTTTGTGTACAAAATACTGCCTTTTCTAAATTGTTCTATAAAACATGTCAAGTTCAAATGTGGGTCAAAGGCAACAGGTCAAAAGGAAAACAGACTTTCCTTGGGATTCCATTATTGCTAAAGAGTAAACTACCAGAACCCAAAATTCACCTCCTGATCTGCTTATAGGGCCTAAGATGCAGGCAAGACAACGCTTGGCGTTTGCCTTGTTTAATGATATATTATTGAATGTGTTAAAATAGGAATTTAATTTGCATGAATTATAATAAAGTAATATATGAGTGATTTTTGTAAAAAACAAACATCAAAGCAACATTTCTTTGCATGTGCATTGCTGTCCATGCAAAATTTCCCATCAATCAGACCTTCTGTGGCCAAGATATTGTGGGGGGAGGGGGGGGGGGTCAAATTGACTCCGGAGCTCTATGATCAATGTATATGTATTTTTTTTCAGGTAAAAAGTATACAAAAGGTAACATCCCAGAGGTCTTCCTGGAGCACATCAGCAGGGCCAAGAGAGACATGGACATGAATGCAGACGACATCCCAGCCCTTATGATACAAGAACTAGAAGAGGTATTGTCCCATATTCTTAAGGTTCCAAAGCACTTATTTGTAGGCACTTGGTAATTGAAAGAGGTAAACTGAATTTCACATAAAACAAATCTCAAAATTGTGAGTTTAAAATATCTCAAAGTTGTAATATTGTAATCTATAAGGAACTCAAGGTTAAGGGATTTACATGGAGAATGATCTTATGCTGATGAAAAATCATTGGTAATTTGTCATTGATAACAAAAAACAAACAATTATATTCATGGCATAGAAATTGCAATTTTCCCACAAGTCATATATTACGTACAATGGCACTGTCGCCCAGACGACTGGCATGGAAAAGTGCACCCACATGCTATTTCATCCTATTTTCAAATTTGATTTTTCTATTTTGATTCAACATAGCAAATGTTAAGCTGCAGATAATTATGAAAAGGGTATAAATAAAAAAAAACAGTTTCCAGAACTTTGCATTGTGTATATTATCTGGGCTCAACATATTAGAATTATAGTTAATTTGTATGTTCTTTCCTTTTTATTTGAATTTCTGATATTACAGGATATCCAGTTATCCTCAACACCATCGGCTACTACCAGAATCTTCCTGACAAAGGACATCACAGCGATATCCAAAGTGGTCAGCCAACATACCCGACACGATGTGCATATATTGCATATTGTCCAGTCCCCAGTAGGAGATATTCAAGGTAACTATGCATGTTCCATGTCTTTTATTAAATATCTTATGAAGCTGACTGTTATTTCGGTATTCAAAGCAACATAACAAACGTTTTTGTGGTTGTGTAATAATGAGATAGCTGCAGTGTGTGTTAAAAAAATATAAATTATTAAGAAAGAATGTTACCGTATAACTTCCAGTGTGTTAGATTGGCTGCTCGATCTGAATGAAAATTCTTTCTTAAGAAATCCTCCTATGAAGCTCAACATTCATATAAATTTTTGTTTATATCACTTGGATTTTAAATATAATCTTGAGTTCTGGTAATGACAGAAATTAATTTCTGACAGAATCCAATGACATTTACAATGAATGTTCAAAACTTCAAAAAATAATGATTACTGAATGCTTTTGGGGGAAAAAAACATATAATAGCTGACTAATGCTGAACAAATGAAGATAAGATGCTTGCCATGTGATCTCAAACACATTACCTCCAAAGCAAGCTAATTATATTAATTAGACAACTGCGGAGTAATTGTGAAACAAATGCATTTCTAATGTCTGGGTTTTTATTCCTAAAGAAAAAGGTGCATTCAGAACTCAAAAAATCACATTGTATCTGTTTGAAAAGAAATTGTGCCTCATGTGAAAAATCACATGTATGTATATTCGTTTTACTTCTATAGGAAATTAAGGCTTATTCATACTGTTCTAAGTAGCCATATAAAATGTGCATATATATTTTATCAACAGATGTCAACCATAATGTCTGTATGCAGTATGGTATTGTCGAGTCTAGGAGGAGGGGTGCTGGCACTAGCCAACTCTACATGCCATCAAGATCAGACTTCTACAAATATGCAGTGGAGCATTTCACTTCTATTGATGAAGTGGTTCTTGACGTTGGAGACGGTAAGACATTTTATCTATATACAGATCCAATTAAATTATGATACAGTTTTAGAATAAATGGGTAGATTAAATATATAGAGATACCAATAAAGCAACATGAATACAAAAATAAAATAAAATGTAAGGAAAGGAAAGTTGTGAAATAACGTCCAAATTGTGTAAATTCAAATTGGCTTTTTTCAATTCAAGTATATTTACCTATTTTTCACTATCCATAAATTCTAGACGCATAATAACTGACATTAATAGCATCAAAGTTGCCCAGTGTTGCACAACAAAGATTTTAGTCACGAGATTTGGGGTCGTGCAAAATCATGGTCAATATCAATAAGCAACCCTGTGCCTTGTCGGAAATTTGTGTTAACACTAACTTTACCGGAAAGGTCTCAGATGGCGCCCCCCCCCCCCCAGACAAATTTTGTTGTCAAACCCATTGCATTTTCAGCAATAGCTAGCGCTTCATGATTTTTTTTTCAAGTGTTATAAATCTTATGACACTGAGGTGTTGAAAATCAGACCTTTCATGATAAAAGGTCGAGCCGATTTTTTTTTTTTTTTTTTTTTTTTTTTTCTTCCAGTTTTCCAGTAGAATGCAAAAAAAAAAAATGTTCATAAAACATTGAAATACATAAGAATTGAAAAATATGCAAAAAAAAAGGCATATAAAAACTGTTTGAGAAGAAATGAACTGTGTAAAAGCTTAAAGACTTGAGATGACATTGTGAGCATATAATTTAAAAAAAATCCAAGTCAAGAGAGATATAGAGAGCTTTATATCTTCTCAAAAACTCTGAAACCAAAAACAATTTGGAATGAAACATTTTAGATAGGTTACAAACAGAGATTTTTTATATATATTCTCACCAGGAGAGAAATTAAAACGGTGGTTATTAGAACCGATCGTTAGATATATTGTTTTTAAACAATGGCTCACATATTCACTATTTAAAAATACTTTCCATAGATATTACAATTTGAGACATTCAGATTGGTCTATTTAAACTATAACTCATATGTGTATACCATTTTCGAGAAATAAAATCAGATTTTAAAAATTCTAACAAGAAAATTGAAACGTCAGTGCCAAATTTGGTTACTTAAGGGGTAGGCTCTGAGGCCCCCCCCCCCCCCCCTCCAGTCTTACAAATTTCAAAATAGCCCCATTCAGTAAGGGTTTATGCTTTTTTTTTTTTTTTTTTTTTATTGATAATGTAAAAGTATTATTTTAGTAAGACAACCAAAAATTTAAAAAAGGGGGTTTATCATTTAAGTAGAAATGTATTGATAAAGAGATGTTGAGCAAATTTAACTCGAAAACCAGCTTTGAAAATCAAAGACAGACTGAACTTTACTAAAGCATTCCATATTGAACTTACCAAAGTAAAATACAAAAATGAACAATATGTAATGCATTTGGTATGGAATTAGGTGCTCGTTTGCTGTGGTTAAAGCCCTTTACCTAGTGTTGCGTCTAATAACTTGGTTCTTCACAAGCTTCACCAGACAAACAAAATTAAATATTCTTTTCTCTATTATATTTTCAGGACTGCTGGCAAGGGTTGCAGCAGAATGTGGACGAAATGGGAGGATGGTAGAGGAGACAACACTGTCCAGCACAGAAATAGAGGCCATGATGGGTGCTGCAGACTCGGAGGAGATTCTAGATGCAGATCTAGTATTAAGCATGGACCAGACGTGTTCTATACCTTAGTGCATTTTGTTTCTCTCATTTCCTCACCTCGATCACTACCTCATTTAGTTCTGAAAAATATTGTTAAGATATGTGACAAACTAACGTTTTTATGTAAATATTTTTATACAGATATGGCTGGTAGGTATATCATTCTTTTGGCCGCTGGAGTTGTATTTTCATGAGGGAAAATAAAACTCCTTTAGGTAGGCTAAAGAATATGTATTACATACATAACAGGAAATATCTATTATAATATTAGATAACCTTGATTAAGACCAAGTCATGGTTTTTACATGAAAGTCTGAACACGAACAGTTTAATAGAGTCTGATCTACAGTAGATATCCATTGTCTTCGCCTTTCTTCTCTGTGCTTAGCTGTTATTAACGAATATTGTTGATACATGAATACATTGTCTTAGCTCAAGCGCGTATGCTCCTACTGTTATCGTTGACCAGCTGGTCAATATAACCATCCAGATGATCGGGCGTGAACTGTTAACAATAAATTGCAGTCCCCATATCACTTGACATGCTGTGGACCAATCACACCTTAGCAACTCTCTGAGCTATCTAATACAAGTATTTAAGTCTATGTGTAGATGTGTTTTTAGTTTAGTAGATAGGTGGCTGGACTACCGATCATTAGGTACATGTATGTGGTTCAAATCTCGGCCACTTCACTAAGGTCTAGCTTTGGCAAGACCTTAACATACATTTACTACACTCAAACTATGTTGTACCAAAATATGTAGCCTAGTTAAGGTCAGGTAACATACATGCAGGAGCACCTTGCTATATAGATGAGCGCTATACTAGAGTGCAATATTATTATTATTATCTTTTATTAGAGCATATTTTTGTCTTGCCAAGTGAACTTGATTACTTTGAAGGTAATTTCAAAGGCACAGGGTTGGTGAACGTGACTCGTCACCTTATTTATTTTTCTAAAGCATCAACACAAAAACCCACATATTATTATTTTATCAAGGATAAAAACTCGGGTCACAACTATTGGTCCCTTGATTTTGTTACCATCTTGTCAAAATGAAACACTCGATCTAACTCATTTCCAAGCATCAGAAGACGGTTGTTGATATCAATGATGTAGTTGGAAGATCATATACTTCAAAGTTATAATCAAGGAATTATCAGAGCTGGAGTCCAAACTGAGGATAATTTATGCAAACATCTGGCAGATTCCAAAGGATAGTCAATAGAATTATTAAACTGCCTTGGTTCTTTGATATTTGATGCGCGATGCCACCAAAGTAAAAGAAAACATTTTAGAGAGGATGTGAACTTTGTGGGTTTTTGTTTGCACAGTTGATTTATTATATCAATAAACATAGAAAACAAATAGGCAATTGTTTAGTAATTATGTACGATGCCACTCTGAAAATCCCATTCCTCAACAAGCAAGATTTCTTGAGATATTGCCTTAAGAGTGTAATAAATATGTACTGCTTCAAGTACAATATTGATCCCTTGCTGATTGCTTTTCTGATTTTCATATTTTATATGGTACTATCAAGAAAATATTTCTATTAAATTAAATCAACCAGAGTAAAGTCCACATGTGTCCACTCATGGAATTAGCAACTTTAAATCTTGTATTTTTGGACGTGTATCTGTTTGCTTACACCTGGTTATACCATTCATGAGCACTTTCTGTGTAACCAATTATCATTATATTGAATACCTTTAATTGCATATGTGCATCCTCTGTAGCAATACTGGCCGCGGGTGTTTCATCGTTAGTTCTTTTGAATCAATGTGCATGTATTCGGAGAGCGCATATATATTTGTCGTGGTTGTTGTGGCATTGAGCCTACTTCAGAGGAAATTGTTAAGCTTTTACTCCAGCTGTAATTACTCCTTGTTATTATATTAAAGTTTCACATCACTTTAAGAGGGTCAATTTGTAGGATCACTGTGTAAGTTTATACGTATGTTTATATGTATAAGTTTATACATGGCACGCACCCTCCAAATCCATGTATAAACTTATACGTTTTGGATGGTCTGTACGATGTATAAATTTATACGTTTTGGATGGTCTGTACGATGTATAAATTTATACGTTTTGGATGGTCTGTACGATGTATAAATTTATACGTTTTGGATGGTCTGTACGATGTATAAATTTATACGTTTTGGATGGTCAGTACGATGTATAAACTTATACGTTTTGGATGGTCTGTACGATGTATAAATTTATACGTTTTGGATGGTCTGTACGATGTATAAATTTATACGTTTTGGATGGTCTGTACAATGTATAAATTTATACGTTTTGGATGGTCTGTACGATGTATAAATTTATACGTTTTGGATGGTCTGTACGATGTATAAATTTATACGTTTTGGATGGTCAGTACGATGTATAAACTTATACGTTTTGGATGGTCTGTACGATGTATAAATTTATACGTTTTGGATGGTCTGTACGATGTATAAACTTATACGTTTTGGATGGTCAGTACAATGTATAAATTTATACGTTTTGGATGGTCTGTACGATGTATAAATTTATACGTTTTTGGATGGTCTGTACGATGTATAAACTTATACGTTTTTAAAGGGTCCATGTCATGTATAAAGTTATACGTCAGAACAAACAGCATGATATACATTTGTATATTTTGCAAGTTGTGTTATCTATAAAAGTGATTGACAACCTATTTTGTGTAAATAATTATTTATTTGTTATCAGTGCATTTATTTGTATTGCCAAATAAAGAAACATGGATTACATTTCAACTGCAAAAAGCATCATTAATTAATTATTTAAGTGTATTGTGTTAATGTTTGTATAAATGCGATGTCTTTCTACTACTGCATGAGAAAGAGAGAATTTACTTTTAGTGATTTCATAAATACTTTAATGAGGAAAGCGAAGGAGTGAAAATGAGAAAGTTAAATATACAGCGAAAATGTCATATAAAGTGTGATGGAGGTGATAGTTGGCTATACCATGAGAAAAGCAAAGCAGTGGAGGCTATAAGCCCTATAAATGAGAGAGTTCTCAAATGATAAGGATTTGGCATGTAATTTGATTTGAATCTGGATTACCCAAGTCCAGATTGAAATAATTCTCTGTTGTATATAGGCGCTTTTTTGAGGCGTTTTCGTTAGTTTTTATCCAAATGGCAAAACACCCCTAAAACAATAATGGTATCGTCCGTTATAACAGAAAGAGGACTATACCATTATTTTGTAGGGGGGATTTACACGTTATTTTTTTGCTTAATGTTTCCGATTCTAGGGGGGTGTAAAAATGGCGAAACCATGTTAAGAACTGCAAAAAAGTGTATATAGGCGCTTTTTTGAGGCGTTTTCGTTAGTTTTTATCCAAATGGCAAAACACCCCTAAAACAATAATGGTATCGTCCGTTATAACAGAAAGAGGACTATACGATTATTTTGTAGGGGGGATTTACACGTTTTTTTTTTTGCTTAATGTTTCCGATTCTACGGGGGTGTAAAAATTGCGAAACCATGTTAAGAACTGCAAAAAAGTGTATATAGGCGCTTTTTTGAGGCGTTTTCGTTAGTTTTTATCCAAATGGCAAAACACCCCTAAAACAATAATGGTATCGTCTGTTATAACAGAAAGAGGACTATACCATTATTTTGTAGGGGAGATTTACACGTTATTTTTTTTGCTTAATGTTTCCGATTCTAGGGGGTGTAAAAATGGCGAAACCATGTTAAGAACTGCAAAAAAAGTGTATATAGGCGCTTTTTTGAGGCGTTTTCGTTAGTTTTTATCCAAATGGCAAAACACCCCTAAAACAATAATGGTATCGTCCGTTATAACAGAAAGAGGACTATACCATTATTTTGTAGGGGGGATTTACACGTTATTTTTTTTGCTTAATGTTTCCGATTCTAGGGGGGTGTAAAAATGGCGAAACCATGTTGAGAACTGCAAAAAAGTGTATATAGGCGCTTTTTTGAGGCGTTTTCGTTAGTTTTTATCCAAATGGCAAAACACCCCTAAAACAATAATGGTATCGTCCGTTATAACAGAAAGAGGACTATACCATTATTTTGTAGGGGGGATTTACACGTTATTTTTTTTGCTTAATGTTTCCGATTCTAGGGGGGTGTAAAAATGGCGAAACCATGTTAAGAACTGCAAAAAAGTGTATATAGGCGCTTTTTTGAGGCGTTTTCGTTAGTTTTTATCCAAATGGCAAAACACCCCTAAAACAATAATGGTATCGTCCGTTATAACAGAAAGAGGACTATACCATTATTTTGTAGGGGGGATTTACACGTTATTTTTTTTGCTTAATGTTTCCGATTCTAGGGGGGTGTAAAAATGGCGAAACCATGTTAAGAACTGCAAAAAAGTGTATATAGGCGCTTTTTTGAGGCGTTTTCGTTAGTTTTTATCCAAATGGCAAAACACCCCTAAAACAATAATGGTATCGTCCGTTATAACAGAAAGAGGACTATACCATTATTTTGTAGGGGGGATTTACACGTTTTTTTTTTGCTTAATGTTTCCGATTCTAGGGGGGTTTAAAAATGGCGAAACCATGTTAAGAACTGCAAAAAAGTGTATATAGGCGCTTGTTTGAGGCGTTTTCGTTAGTTTTTATCCAAATGGCAAAACACCCCTAAAACAATAATGGTATCGTCCGTTATAACAGAAAGAGGACTATACCATTATTTTGTAGGGGGGATTTACACGTTATTTTTTTTGCTTAATGTTTCCGATTCTAGGGGGGTGTAAAAATGGCGAAACCATGTTAAGAACTGCAAAAAAGTGTATATAGGCGCTTTTTTGAGGCGTTTTCGTTAGTTTTTATCCAAATGGCAAAACGATTCTACGGGGGTGTAAAAATTGCTAAACCGTGTTAAGAACTGCAAAAAAGTGTATATAGGCGCTTTTTTGAGGCGTTTTCGTTAGTTTTTATCCAAATGGCAAAACACCCCTAAAACAATAATGGTATCGTCCGTTATAACAGAAAGAGGACTATACCATTATTTTGTAGGGGGGATTTACACGTTTTTTTTTTTGCTTAATGTTTCCGATTCTACGGGGGTGTAAAAATGGCGAAACCATGTTAAGAACTGCAAAAAAGTGTATATAGGCGCTTTTTTGAGGCGTTTTCGTTAGTTTTT